GTCCATGTCGAGAGGAAAAAATAAGACAAATGTTGATTTTGTATTGTTTTTTTACGGGTTAGGATGGGACCACCCGGATGGGGCCCCTATCTGCCGGCCTGAGGGGGGAGTAGGAGTATATTCTAATACGGAATAAGGATAGGAGTAGCGATGGAAGGCGCGGCCGATCAGATCGAACGCGCCCCAGCAATGGGGAATGACAAAAACTGCACTGCTATCGCCGATTCGACTGCAACGCGCAGTTCATCCAGGCACGCGACGACCCCAGCGAAATCGAACGATCGAACGCGGAGTCTATGCGGCCTGGGCATCTTATTGGCAAGGGGCGGCCAGTACGGGGATGAATGCCACGCATGATTCTAGCAATCGTTTGCTCCTCATTGGCGTGCGTGCTAGCCACCTCACTCCTTCTGCAGCTTGGGGTTCCTACCCTGAGAGACGGAATACGCACCACAACTGAAGCGAACGACCGTGCAGCTAAAGCGCTCCATGACATGCTTCCTGCTTCGGAAGAACTGCAGCTTTCCGTCCTCCTCCGCCGCCCGACCCACGTACCCACCCGCCCCATCCTCCCTCTCATCACTGGGGGCGGCCGCCTGGGGGGGCGCGCCTGGCACTGGGTCGTCCTCCCCCAACTTGGCGGCGGCGATGGCCACGCGCACTGACTCGCTGGGGTGGTCATACTGCTCGGGCGTGATTCTGAATAATCTCTCGGCAGAGGCAGCATCCAAAGGGCTCGGCTCGCACGCGCGCGCACGGAGGGCCCTAAGGGATTCATTTGTCCTGGCCAATTCATTACAGACTACGATATTCTCCCAGCCTCGCACAAAACCGAAAATCGTGCGCCTCAAAGACGACCGATGGCACGACACCAGTGTGAATCTGCGACGGCGGCGTGCTCTCTCGAGGCTGGACCTTCTCTGTCTTGCAGGCGGCGGCCTGGACCATCCAGGCAAACACTCTGCTACTTTCCTTGGCGGCCTTGAGGCCAGCAGTGTGAAACTCTTGCAAGACACGGGCTGGAGTGTGCAGCATAGCTCCTTTTTTGTCAAGGTGATCAGCCCACTCGTTGCCAACAAAGCACTCAAAATCACAATCGTGTGAAACCAGAGCCTCCTCCAAATTCCTGTGAGCAGGCACCCACAAGAAACTCGGCGGCTCCTCATTCTCATACAACATACGCATCTGCCTCCAGATCGCTGCGTGCTTGTATTGGGATAGGAGTAGGAGTAGGAGTAGGAGTCAAGCTAGCCAGCTCGAGCGAGTCAAGCATGGCATGCCCAGTCCCACCCGCCCTCCCACAACATAAGAAGCAAAGCTGGCACAACTGGGGGCCGAAGTCACACCGGCCAGCCGGTTTGGTACAGCTGATGCGGCCGCGATGGCGGTTGCCGACGGGAACTGGCGAGCGCGTGTTGAATGCCGCGCACGCATTGCCAGACGAGTCGAGAATGGCCCGGTACACCGCAGGAAGCCAGAGGTGGCCGGAGGAAGCCCGACGGTCTGACAGGACACCCCAAAGCATTTTTGTGAAAAAGCATTGGGTTTTTGATGTTTTTATGTTGAAATGCTTGCAAACACACGGTGTTCGGTAGGATTCTGACATGAACGCGCGAGTGTGCTCTTTGTGGTATTTTTTGCACAGGATTCGCGGCCTGGGTGCATGACAGAGCATCGCGAGTGCACCGCGCGATGACGTGAAATCGCTGGATTTGACCGAATTCTTAAGATTCCTATGGTTTTCCTATGATTTCAGCAAGAGAGCCCGGGCGGGAAATTTGTACAATTTTTGTGAAAAAGCATTTGGTTTTTGATGTTTTTATGTTGAAATGCTTGCAAACACACGGTGTCCGGTAGGATTCTGACATGAACGCGCGAGTGTGCTCTTTGTGGTATTTTTTGCACAGGATTCGCGGCCTGGGTGCATGACAGAGCATCGCGAGTGCACCGCGCGATGACGTGAAATCGCTGGATTTGACCGAATTCTTAAGATTCCTATGGTTTTCCTATGATTTCAGCAAGAGAGCCCGGGCGGGAAATTTGTACAATTTTTGTGAAAAAAGCATTGGGTTTTTGATGTTTTTATGTTGAAATGCTTGCAAACACACGGTGTTCGGTAGGATTCTGACATGAACGCGCGCGTGTGCTCTTTGTGGTATTTTTTGCAATGGATTATCGCCGTGGACGACAGGACGTCCATGTCGAGAGGAAAAAATAAGAAAAATGTTGATTTTGTATTGTTTTTTACAGGTTAGGATGGGACCACCCGGATGCGGCCCCTATCTGCCGGCCTGAGGGGGGAGTAGGAGTATATTCTAATAAGGAATAAGGATAGGAGGAGGAGGAGGAGAGGAGGAGGAGGAGGAGGAGGAGGAGGAGCAGGAGCAGGAGGAGGAGGAGGAGGAAGAGGAGGAGGAGGAGGGGCGCCCTCACCGCGGAGGATAAGGAGCGGGCGCCGCCGCGCGGGGGCCCCGCGCGCGCCGCGCCCAGTCCCTGCAGAAGAGGAGGCGCGGCGCGGGCGCCCGCCGCGCGCCGGGGCGGGGCACCTGCCCCGCAGCGGTGCAGGGTCAGGTCGGGCCTGTCCCCCTACAGGTGGGGGATTTTCGACGAAAAAATAAAAATACTCCAAAATGCACCAAGAAGGTCAACAAACATACACCAAAAATAGTCCCCAGACTACTTTTGGACAATTGATCTGCTATTTTTGGGGGGTATCTTGTATTTTCGTCGAAAATCCCGCTGCAGGGGGACAGGCCCGACTGAAGTCCAGGGTGGCCGAGGACCGCCCTGCTCGGTTCTCGGCCTGGCGAGGTTGGGCGGCGAGCGAGGGGGGGGGGGGAAGTGCGAAGGAGGAGGCCCGCTCAGATGGCTCGGAAGTCCCCCCCTGGCCTTCCGAGGAGCGTTCTCTGCGCCTGCCCCGAAGACGCAAAGTAGAAAGACTTCTGAGGAGGCGCGCGGGGGCTTCTGAGAAGTCCTGCCGCCTTCTGAGAAGGCCTTCTCCTTCTCAGTTCCCCCCCCCCCGCTCGCCGCCGACACGATCCTGATTTCATGGTGAGAGGAGGGTGGTAACAGAGCTCCCAGGTGTGCAGTCTTAGACCCCCCCTTCCGACCAGCCATGAAACGGCGGCCTTTGGCCCAGGCCCCCCGCCATCGGGCCAACCCCCCACACTCAGACCAACTCCCTGTCGTTGTGAAGTCTGGAGCGCACGGTGCGGCACTGCCGCGCCCGACAAGTGCAGGGTGTAAAGCCGCTCCCTCTCGCTGAGCACCTGGCGCCTGGCGCCCGGTGCTGCTCCTGCCCTCGCCGAGTCACCGGAGGAACCGTGCACAGATCGAAGCGCACAACACCGGGAACGAACAGCACCAAGACACAAACGGTCTGCGTCGGTGCTCTGCGGCTGGCTTTTTGCATAGCGGACCAGCCACCACGGCCGCAGATCTCTCGGGGGCCCCCGGGCAGACCACACGCACCCAACCGATCGCAGCCCTCGGCCCTTCGGAGCCGCTCGACAACTCGAGCAAACCGGTGAGGCTGCAGTGGGCCACGCTCTGCCCCGCTCAGTGGCGCTGCAGTGGGAGCTCGCCCACAAGAAACTCCCCACAAGAAATCCTGCCCTGAGGCCCGGGGGCGTCCATGGATTTGTGGCGTGGGAGCGTCACGCTTTCCATACTTCGCAAGACCGTCGAAAACCAAGACACCGGCACCTCAGAGGCAAGCGTGGTGCTTCGTGGCATGGGTCTCCACTGTGCCCTGCGCCGCCCCTCCCCTCCACTCCTCCCGCTCCTGCTCCTGCTCCTCCTCTTCCTCCTCCTCCTCCTCCACCTCCTCCTCCTCCTCCTCCTCCTCCTCCTCCTCCTCCTCCTCCACCCCCCTCACTCCCTCCCTCCTCCCCTCCCCTCGCTCCCCCCGCCTCCCCCCGCTCCGCTCCCCCGTCCCCCGCATCCACCCCGCCCCGCCACCGCCCATGGTGCCCCCAATCCCTCCCCCCCCTTAGAGTCGAGAGGAACCAACACACGGCAGACACAGAAGCCTTCGACGGCCCGCGCGGATTTCTCGGATCCGCGCTACAGCCCTCTGCCCGGCGCGCGAAGCGCCCAGCGCGCGGACCGTCGACAGCCTATGTGTCAGCTGCTTTTCCTTCTTCGGCTCCTGCGACTTAGCCGGTACGGTAACCATACCGTGATCATCTCCGCTCCTCCTCCCGGCTCCCGTTCCCAATGTCTCCCTCCGTCCCCTCCCGCACCCTCCTCCTCGGGAGGATCCTCTACGCGTCCCTCGTGCACTGCCCTCCAACGTCTCCGCGCCCGAGACGAGAGGGCAGGCAGGGTCACCATGGACGCGCACGCGAGCAGAGACAGCGTCTCGCACGAGGGCCACCGACCTCGGGGAGGCCCGCCGAATCGGGCCGAACTCGGCGCGCACCCCCCAGCCAGAGAGCGGACCCCGGCGCGCCGGAGGCCATGCGGAATCCGTCGACATGTCCGCCCGCGCCCACTTTTCGAGTCAGCGGCGCAGAGGGCCCTCAAGCGCGGGCAGCAGACGGAAGTGCGAATTGCGATCGAGCGCAGTCGAAAGCACAGTGACCGCTCGCGCCCACACGCGCCGTCACGATGAGGTGGCGGGCGCGCACGTCCGCCCTCCAGAGCGCAGCGAGGCAGCTACCCAAGCCGCCGGAGCCTCCAGTCCTTGGAGGCGTTCGGCTTGTCGAATGCCTTCGTGTCGAAGTCAAGTAATTCGGCGATCAGCTGGGCTTTCGCCGTCATCTCGTCGAAGGTGGTCGCCAAGATGAACTGCGGGCAGGTCTCGTTCGAGAAGAACTCGGTGATTACCTGGCGGGGTCGAGTGAAGGCCGGCAGGCGGAGCCCAACTGGGGGATGGACAGGGTGGGGAACGAGAGGGGCGTGGAGAAAGAGGGATGCGGGGAGGAACGCCGCAGCTATGATCTCAGACATCTAAGCGTACACACTGTACGCAAAGTGGGTGTGCGCGTGCGCGTGCGCGTGCGTGCGCGTGCGCGTGCGCGTGTGCAACGATATTTCCTTTCCTGCTCGCCCAGCTTGCCCCTCGCATCGGACCACACAACTGGGCTCGGGCGCGTCCACCACCTGTAGGGGTGCAGCTGATGTAGCGGATCCTGCCGCATTCGCCACGACTGAAAGGCACATCGCAGGAATACAGCAACACGTGTGTGCGACGGTGGGTCACAATATGCCCTCAAGCATTCGCAACCCGGCTGGCTACTCGGTGCCCTCGGCTGGCCAAAGGTCCGCGGACATGCCGAGCAAGCTTCGTGCAGTCTTGAAGCTTCCTGCTGCGGGCTGGGTGCGCATCGCAACGTACGGCACGCTCCGCGTGCCGCCCAAAGATAACTCCGCTGGAACCACTCTCGCGGCAGACGTCGAGATCCTCCCCGGTCGCTCGTCACAGCCTCCCCGCTGAACGCGTTCGGAGTTGAGCAAGGAGCTCAGTGCAAGGTGGAATTCCGGGATTCAGCAATATTCGCTGTGAACGGGTGAGCGGAGCGGAGACTCCCTCCAGGTTGATTAAAGAAGGTCGACTGAGTCACACACGATTCCGCCATCTAGCTGCCAAGGTGCTTGCTGAGTGCTGCGCCTTCCTTCTCGATGCAAAGTTCTTGCGTGGACTGTTGAACTCGATCGCTCCGTGGCCTTTGCCCGAGGTGAATTTCCAATCCTCCTCCTGCTCCTGCTCCTGCTGCTCCTCCTCTTCCTCCTCCTCGTCCTCCTCCTTTTCCTTTTCCTCCTCCAGCCCCCTCACTCCCTCCCTCCTCCCTAATCCCCCCCCCTCCCTTCTCCCTTCTCTCCCCTCCGTCACTCCACCCTCCTCCGCCCGACTCTTTCCCCCCCCTCCTCCTCCTCCTCCTCCTCCGCCTCCTCCTCCTCCTCTTCCTCCTCCTCCTCCTCCTCCTCCTCCTCTTCCTCCTCCTCCTCCTCCTCCTCCTCCTCTCCCTCCTACTCTTCCTCGTCCGAGACGTGCTCCGCCTTCTCCTCCTCCTCCTCCTCCTCCTCCTCCTCCTCCTCCTCCCCTCTTTCCTTCCCTCCCTCCCTCCCTCCAAGGTCGTCCTCTTTTCGGACCTCCTGCGCCCTCACCTTTTCCACTTCCATTACCATCTCCGCCTCCTCCTCTTCCTCCTCTCCTCCATTCCTTTTCCATTCCATAGCTCCTCCCTGTCGCACCCCGAGGCCAATCGGAAGGCCAGTCCGGGAGTTTCGCCTGATAATCTCTTATCATTTACAATTCTGAAGATCACAATTTTGCAACATATTCACGAGGGGGCGGGCCGATTCCAACTTGTGGTTCTCGCCTTACTGCCGCGCACACTAGTCTTAAACCTTTGAAGGAGCTTCACGGATTGAGGGTGGTCTGTTTTTCGAATGTGGCTCTCGCCTTGGCGCCGCGCACATTCGTTTTGAAAACTTGAAAGACTTTCGCGGCTTGAGGGCGGCTCTTTTTCAAATTGTGGCTCTCGCCTGAGCACCGCGCACATTCGCCTTAAAGAACATGTGCAACATATTCACGGATTACCATGGCCAACGTACCAGAAAATTGTGTTCTAGAATGATCCAGGGTTGTCAGAGCGCAACAGATACGTTGACTCGCGGCGTTGAGGTTCAAGGGATGGTGTCTAGCAGGATACAGGATCGTCAAAATGCAACAGTCAGGTTTATTCGTGGCGTGGGAATCCCACGAAGTGTTTGTTTGGCACGTTTGAGGATCTTCAAACGGTTGTCTCCCAACAGGGTACTTCCTACAGTGGAAATGATTCCTTGTATGGGGCCTGTGACGACAAAGCGTGGAGGGAGGCCTTATTCAAACATCGATGATGAACCTTAGGCTTACACTGGTCCCACTTTCGGCTGCAACGTCCGCAGGAGAACGCAGACAGCGACTTGCCAGACCCGTTCGATTCCCGCAAGGCGCTCCAGGCCGGCACGAGCGTGTTCGGGAAGACGAGGGCAGCATGACGGCGACGTCGGCTTCGGACAGCTCGGGATCTTCGAAAACCGGCGAACCTGGAGAATGCTCCGGGTCCAGAGGCGCCCCTGAATGCTGTGAGAGCCTTCAAGTTCCGCCGACCCCTTGGGGTCACGGCGTGTGAGATGCTCCCCCTTCCCCAACCCCCCCCCCGGGGGCCTGGTCCGGCCGGTTTGGAAGGGTGGGGGCTGGGGGGCAAATCCGTCATCCGCACACTTGGAGCCTCAGGGCGCCCCAACACGGGCCAAAAAGGTCTCAAGAGAGCTGCGAATCGACGAGAGATCGCCCCAAAACGCCGAAGATTGCTTCCACACGGCTCCAGAAGTCCCCTAAGACGTTTGAAACAATATTACGAGGCGCCCCAAAGAGGCCCTCCAGAAGCAAACACCGTCCCATTTCGTTTGGGGAAAAACATTTTCACCACATTCGCCCATTCGGCTTCCACGCGGCGCAAAACGGCCCAAGAAACCTACACGCTCCCAAAAAGGCTCCAACACGGCGTCCAGGCGATCGACGAAGGCCCAAGAAACCATAACACCGGCTTAGGAAAACCGCAGGACGGTCCCAAAAGGAGTTCCAAAACGGGCCAAGAGGGCTCCCAAAGGCTGTCCGGACGGCCCACGCGGGGGACGATTCGGTCCAAACCGCCCAAGACTGCCTCCGACAACCTCATGGGGGCCCAAGACGTTTGCATACGCGCCCACGAGGCGCTCCAAGCAGGCCTCCAGAAACAAAAACCGTATCATTCCCTCGGGAAATCCTGCGTGTTCAGCATATTCGATTCTTGGGCTTCCACGAGGCCCACAGCCCAGTAAACCTCCAAGATCGACTTCTGGCACCCCAGGATACTCTCCAAAAGGCTCCACGACGGCCTCCGGGCGCCCCACGAAGGCCCCAGAAACCATAGCAACGGCCCGTGGGGGGGCCTCGCAGGCTGCCCGGACAGGCCACGCCGGGGACGATTGCTGCCGCCCCAAGGGGTCGGTGATGTGGCGTAAGCCAATGAATCACTCTGGAACGGTCGATCCTTATCCTCGGCCTCTATGGTTCGACCGCCCATCCTCGGGGAGTCCTTGCTCAGCTCCAACGGGAAGAAACAGAGTATGAACGGTTGGAATTGGGCTCGGCCAGAACTATGGCTGCTATGTCGAAGCGGAAAGTTCACACGATTACTTTGCAGGAGTTATTTGCTGAGGGAAACGAGCCTGTTGGTAACGTGCTGTGGCTTTGTTGCGCGACATCCGCGGCGGCGCGGCCGAATTGCCGAGCCACGTCCTGCGCTCGCGCTCTGAATCTCCCGTCAAGGAGCATCTGCAACTTGCTGAAGCGACGTCCAAGGGTCGCCGCGACCCGATGTAACGCGACCCTGATTACTCGAGCAAATGCATCGCGGGGTGAACTGGTAAGAAAAAAGGGGGCCCGCCCCACGACGGGGCTCTGGCCTCGCATCACCACTGCATCCCCAGGGCTTTACGAAAGCAGACCGCGGACTGTATCAAAGCGAGGAAACGGCTTCACTAAAGCGAGGGAGCGGCTTTACTAAAGCGAAGGAGCGGTTTTACTAAAGCGAAGAAGCGGCTTTAGTAAAGGCGCGCCGCTCAATGTTTCACTAAAGCGAGAAAGTGGCTTTGGTAAAGCGGAGGGGTGGTTGGGGGAAAATTGCGCGCAAAGTTTCACCCCTCCCATAAAGTCTGGCGCGGGACTCCAGAAACGAGGGCGGGGCGCAAGTTCGCCCGTGGGCCCAGGCCCCGTCGCCGCCGTCGCCGCGATATTCGTCGTCGCCGCCGTCGCCGTTGCCGCCGTCGTCGTCGCCGCGACCCCCGCGCATTCACGTTATTACCAGCGGCGGGTCGCGCGCGACCGCGCGCGCAAACTGCGCTGGCATTTCCGCTCGTCCGACGGGGCCCAGGCGGACATCGTGTTTTTCCCTCCAACCACAACTCGTATAAAGTAAGAATGGGAAACATACGCCTCTGATATTTCTCGCTTTGTTTTCGCTTTTCCTCGTTCTGTTTCCAGTCTGCTTTTGCTGCAGAACGAAGTCAGAACGAACACGGCCCACGAGACCCCCCCGCGCGCGCGGAGCGCGTCAGGGGCGGCACCTGAGGCGATGCCGGGGGGGCCTGGCGCCGATCCGAAGACTTCGCGCGGGCCTCCGAGTTTTCGTGCTTATGTCATCGCTTGTTCCCCTAAGACATCGCAGAGGGCGGCCGCCAACATAACAAGAGAGATCGGCACGGCCAGCGTGTTGCCAAGCGGCGGTCCCGGTGCCGCGATGTCTGTTGGCCTCCCGCCGCAGGCCCAGGGCGACTGGCCGAGCTGGCCTTTATCGAGTGGAGGTGCCTCGGAGCTGGGGGGAAACACGCCTCGAACATACAAATCGGCGGCGAGCGAGGGGGGGAAATGAAAAGGAAAAGGCCTTTTCAGAAGACGGCGGGACTTCTCAGAAGCCCTCGAACCTTCTGAGAAGTTCTCGGTTTCTTCGAGAAGGCTTCGAACACTTTTCAGAAGGCTTGGGGACTTCCGAGCCCTCTGAGAAGGCCTTCTCCTTCTCACCACTTCCCCCCCCGCTCGACGCCGAACAAACGCAGACGCCCTCCGACGAACTCTGCGTGTACCTTCAGGGAGGGCGGCGGTGGATACGGTCGCTGGCCCTCGGTTGTTGATTTGCACACCGCCCCCCCCCCCCCGCTGAGGCCGAGGAACAAGCCATTGGAGGGTGCCTGCGTATCTTTTTTGTGGCGGAGGGGAAGCTCCATCTCCATACGTGGGAGCACGGCGGGCCACAATGTCAGCTGAGCGACGTCAAGAGACGGGTCTTACGCGAGGTGACGCAGTTGGCAGTGACCTGACGCCGCGGCCTACGTGGGCCGAAGGCGCGGCACGCCACACTTGAGAAAAGATGGCGCTGACGCGCGACCTTACGCGGACCGCTTGCGCGCCAATGTCGGCGAAGATGGCCCCGTTTGTTTTGCGTCGCCCACCCGACTTCACAAAGCGGGACCCCCCCGCCGCGAGACCCGAGTGCCCATGCTGGTGTTCTTGGTCGTCGTCTTGTTCAGGATGTGGCACCCCGTTGCCCTCGGAAGTGGGCCACCGCTTCTGCTGCCTACCCAGCTGCTGCGCGAAGTGCTGTCTCGTTTTCTCCACCTCCTGCTCTACCTACCTCTTCCCGCTCCGATGCCCGTGTGAAAGAGCGCGTGCTGTGGGAGTTGGGAATTTCGCGGATGATCGCGAAGGTTGACTGGTTGCTGGCGGTCATAGAACAATCGATGTAGGCTCTGATACGTCCCACTCGGGGCATCACGCACAACCTCAAGCTCCAATTACCTGCAAAACCGCGCGAACGAATGTACGGCTTCGCACAGCGGTCGGCATCACTGTCTTGATGCAAGTGCAAGGCTTACATGAACTAGGCTGGCTATCATACTGTTGTTTTCTATGACAGATGCACCGCTTCATCTCTAGACATCTGTAAACACATACAGATGCATAAAAGAGGGGTATAGAGGACAGAGAGAGAGAGAGAGACAGAGAGAGAGAGGGCTAGATGGAGAGAGAGAGAGAGAGAAGGCGTGTTCTGGACGCTTGCCTCGGAAAAGTCTCAGGACACGTCGAATACAAGGGGGCGGGGAGGGGACCAAACTCATAGCGCGCTCGGGGAACCAGGGGGGATGGCACTCCCCCGGACAGCGACCTCTCCAACTGGGACCTCCCCCCCTCCAAGGGGGGGGTGTTCGAACCGAAGGCCCCCCCCCCCCTCCTGTTCAAGGGGGGAGGGGTTCGAAGCGGGAGCCCCCCCGCCCCGGGGGCCCGAGAGTTGCAGGGGGGGGGGCTGGGCCAAACCAGGGGGGGCCCTCTCCCCCGAATTGCAATCGGCGGGGTTCGAACTGGGACCCCCCCCCCCCCTCAACAGCAAGGACGACAACGACAACGACGACGACGACGACGACGACAACAAACGACGACGACGACGGACAGCTGACGGCTAAACACGCAACACAATCAACCAGCGCAGATTCCAAATGCATCAGAAGGCTGATGTGGAGTGGACTGGACTGGACTGAAGTGGACTGGGCAGGAGTAGACTGGACTGGACTGGGATGGACTCTACTCCACTCTACCCTACTCAAACCTATCATACCGAGCTCTGCTCTGCCACCAGCCTTCCTCTCTTCTAGTAGGCTGTGCTCTGCTCTACTCCACGTTACCCTACCCTACCCTTATCGAGTATAGTATACTCTGCTCTACTCTTACACCTACTCTATTCTGCCCTACTCCTACTCTACCAAACTCGCACTCTACTCTACTCTGACGCTGAATATTGTCTAATGTATGCGGCTATGTTCTACTCTACTCTACTCTACTCTACCCTACTCTACTCTGCTCTATGGTGCCCGACTCTACTCTATCATCTACCCATACTCTACTCTGCTCTGTTGTACTCTACCCTACTCTACCCTACCCTACCCTACCCTACCCTGTCTCGACCGACTCTACGCTACACTACACTACACTACGTATTCTACTCTACTCTACTCCACCCTATTCCTGTTCCTACTCTACTTTCATCCAATCCACTGTACTGTATTACACCCGACTTTGCTCTGCCATCGACCCTACTTAACTCTACTCGGATCTTCTCTAACTCTACTCGCCTCTACTCTACCCTACCCTCACCTTGACTATTTCGAGGACGCCGTCGGCGTCGTCACCGTCTTCGTCGTCGTCGTCAGCGACGTCGTCGACGTCGTCGTCGGCGGCGGCGGCAGCGGCGGCGTCGTCAATTTCGTCGTGGCCACTGATTGCCATTGGCAAGCGTGGGGGGAGCGGATTCGACCCCGCCCCTTGCAATTCGCAAGGGGAGAGGGGGGGGCCCACCCCCCGTTCGAAACCCACCCCCCCATTTGAGAGAGGGGAGGGGCCCCACTCCCCGTTCGAACTCCGCTTCCCCCCTTGCAGCTCAGGAGGTAGGCGCCCTCCCCCCGGTTCGAACCCACCCCCCCGTTGAGGAGGGGGGGTCCACCCCCCACTTGAACACGTCCTCCTCGCATCTCGGGAGTAGTTGTATGTGTGTATGTGTATGCGTGCATGTGTATGTGTATGTTTATGCGGATGTGCATGGGCGGGTGTGATTATATGTATACGTATACGTATACATATATATATATATATACATACATATACACATATGTGTATAGGCATGTGTGTAAATGTGTGTGTACGTACGTATGTGTGTACGTATGTATGGATGTGTGCGTGTTTGTATGCGTGTACGTATGCGTGTATGGATGTATAGATGCTTGAATGTGTGTATGGTCGTGTGTGTATGTATGTACGTATGTGTGCATGTATGTATGGATGCATGTATACATTTATATATATACACATATGTATATATATATATATGTATGGATGCATGTATGTATGTATGCATGTATGTATGTATGTATGTGTGGGGGTAGGTAGGTATGCATGTATGCATGTATGCATGTATGCATGTATGCATGTATGCATGTATGCATTTATGCATGTATGTATGTATGTATGTATGTATGTGTGTATGCATGTATGTATGTATGTATGTATGTATGTATGTATGTATGTATGTATGTGTGGATGCATGTATGTATGTGTGTATGTATGCATGCATGTATGCATGTATGTATGCATGCATGTATATATGTATGCATGCATGTATGTATGTATGTGTGTATGTATATGTGTTTGCATGTGTGCATGCATGTATGTATGAATGCATGTATCTATGATTGCATGTGCACATGCATGTGTATGCATGCATGCGCGTATGTGTATGTGTATGTGTATGTGTATGTGTATGTGTATGTATGTATGCATGTATGTCCGAGTGTATGTAGATGTATATGTGAATGTCTACATGTGTGCATGTATGTTTATAAACATATACTACTAGACTGCAGCGGCGCTTCGCGCCATGCACCTTAGTCAAGCCGACAATTTATCAACAACTCCGTGTTGCCATTTCGAACATCGCCGTCCTAAGATTGTCTTTCCTCCATGCTTAGGTTATCTTAGTTTCGCCATACCCTGCGTGCTCTCCACATCCTCCGCAGCTCTTTTTGAAGAGGTTCCTCCTTCGAGAGCCTCTAGGGGCCTTACGGAAGTTGTTCAGGCTTTCTTAGGGCTTCTGGAGGCCTCCTAGGCGTCTTCTTACAGCTTCTGGGGGCTTCCTCGGGCCACCCTGCCTCCAACCGCGGTCTCCCTGAGCGACCGCGTCACGATTTGGAATGTTTCGGAGGGTGTCTTGGGTCCATCTTGGGCCGTCATGGGGCTCTCTTAGGCCATCTTGGAACCCTGCTGTGCCGTCTTGGGGCTCTCTTGCTGCGTGGAAGCCCGTTCGGATGGTTGTGGGGCGATTTTTGAGCCACCCTGGCGGCTTCGGACGCCTGGGGATCTCCCGGGTCGTCTGGAGGGTTGCCCGAGAGGCCCGGGCGGGGTGTGCCAGATTCGTTCGGGGGGGAGGTGCACGCTTTTTCTGGGGTCCCCGGCCCTATAAAAGCATATGAATAGGAATGTTGCCAGTGTCTTCGCTGTGTATTTACATGATGTGTGGTCTTGCTGGACGCTCCAGCTGCCCAAGAACACTTGCTCAGCCGAGCCAGGCGGACACATCGGCCGCTCGGTTGCTCTCGCTTGCTGCTGGGGAGGAGTGGGACGTGAGCGTTTTTTTTAGTCGGCGTTTCGACATTGGGCGGAAGGGGGGGGAGGGGGGGAGGGGGGTGGTCTGGCTCCAGACCTCTGCTGAGTACGACTGTTTGCAGCACTGGGTCCTCAGAGGGGAGACTCCAAACGCTTGAAACAAGCGCCCAGAACAGCCAAGATCTACTCCATGGGGGGGGAGGGGCGGGAGGGTGGCCCGTGCGGATCGGTATAACAATGAATCAAAAAACTATCACCTGGCTGCTGGGGAGGACTGGGATACACCTGGACTGGGATAGGCAAGGGATCTCCGAGATCCAGCGGTTCAGGAGGGTGCATTCGCATGACACGGCCGCTACAGAGCGCTCCGGAACGCTCCTGGACATCCAGCGCCTAGACTGTGTCGAAACACAGGCCCCCGATTTCTCGACCGCCTCCCCGGGACCAATTTTTCATTGCGAATCGTGCTTGTTACGGTCCCGAGGCCTGGCATGAAGGGCCCAGAGAAGGCGGACACTCAGAATCGGAGGAAGAAAGAGAAGCAGAAGCATCAACTGTTTGAGGTCCTCGCGGATTTCTTGTATCTGGGCTGCACCCGCTCCCTGCCGCGCGGAGCGCCCCAGGGGCGGCGCCGGAGGCGCCGCCGTGGGAGCCCCGGCGCGGATCCAAGAAATCCGCGCGGAGCGCCAAAAGTTTATGTTTATGGCGCATTTTACTTCGAAAACAAACACCTCCTCGGCTAAGACGCCGAGTGCACGCCGCGGCCGTGGGCGGAGGAGAAGGCGGAGGAGGAGGAGGAGGAGGCGGAGGAGGACGAGGAGGCGGAGGATGATGAGGAGGCGGAGGAGGCGGCGGAGGCGGAGGAGGAGGCGGAGGCGGAGGAGGCGGAGGAGGAAGCGGAGGAAGAGGAGGAGGAGGCGGAGGAGGAGGAGGAGGAGGAGGAGGAGGAGGACGAGGAGGAGGAGGGGGAGGAGGAGGAGGAGGAGGAGGAGGAGGAGGAGGAGCAGGAGGAGGAGGAGGAGGAGGAGGAAGAAGAGGAGGCCGCGCGGCGGCACTGCTGGGCCCCCCGCGTCGCAACGAAATCCTGGAAGGTCGGGTTCGCCAGGCCCAGCTGCGCCTCGCCGGCTCGGCGGCGACGCTTTGCGGGCGCGCCGCGCCAGCCAGCAGACGGCCAGGGCGGGGACCAAGAGCGAGGACGAGGGCGCGGACGACGACGGCTGGTCGCGGCGGGGATCCCCCCGCTGGGAGGCCAGTTGCGCCCGCTCCTTCGTCCCTCCGCCTGGTCACCTCTTGCCCGCCCTATTGTGTCCTTCGTCACCTCCCTCGCTCCTCCTTCCTGCCTTCCTCCTTTCTCGGTCCTCGTCCTCGTCCTCATCCCTCTCCTCCCCATCCTCCCTCCTGCTTCTCTCGTCTCCGCCTGTCTCCCTCTTCCTCTATCGTCTTTTCGAACTCCTCCCTCGTCGTTACCCTCCTCCTCCTCCTCCTCCTCCTCCTCCAACTCCGCCTGATCCTCCTCCTCGTCCTCGCATTCGTCCTCCTACTCTGAACTCGTCCTCTTCATGTTCCTCTGTATCTTTCTCAGCCCTTGCCATCCTCGTCAATCATCCTTCCATCTCCGCCCGTCCGCGTCGTCGTCTGCTTCTGATATTTCGAATGCCAACTCCGCCCTCTACCCTCCTTCTCTTCCTTCTTGCCTTCCTACTGAGTCCTCCGTCTCCGCCGTCGTTGCTCCTGGTTCTCGTCCCAACCTCCATTCTCCTCCCACTCCTCCGCCAGGTGTTCCCCGACCTCGTGATGATCTTCCCCCCTCGCTCCCCTGCTCCTCTTTCTCGTCCTTCTCCCTCCACACTGGCCTCTCCTTATCCTCCTCCTACTCCTCCACCTCCTCCCCCTTCTCCCCCTTCCCTGCCCCTTGGGCCATCCTCCCTCCTCCTTCCCCTTCAGATCCTCCTCCTCATCCTTCTTCTCTTCCTCTTCCTCCTCATCATCATCCTCCTCCTCATCATCCTCTTCCCTCCTCCACCTGGGCCCTCCTCCCTCCTCCTTCCCCTTTATACCCTGCTCCTCCTCCTCCTCCTACTTCTCCTCCTACACCTTCTCCTCCTGCTTTAACTCCTCCTCCTCCTCCCCCTCCCCCTCCCCCTTCTCGTCCTTGTCCTCATCCTCATCCTCCTTCTCATCCTCACGAGCGTCATCATCATCATCATCATCATCATCATCATCATCATCATCACCATCAGCAGCGTCATCAACATCATCATCATCATCATCATCATCATCATCATCATCATCATCATCATCATCATCATCACCGTCATCATCATCATCTTCTTCAACATCCTCATCATCATCATCATTCATCATCATCATCATCACCATCATCATCATCATCACCATCAGCAGCGTTATCATTATCATCGTCAGCATCATCAACATCATCAGCATCAACCTCATCACGAGCATCATCACCACCATCATCGTCATCATCAGCATCATCCTCATCATCATCAGCAGCAGCATCATCAGCAGCATCATCCTCATCCTCATCCTCATCCTCATCCTCATCCTCATCGACATCATCATCATCATCATCATCATCATCAACATCATCATCATCATCATCATCATCATCGTCGCCATCATCATCATCATCATCATCATCAGCATCACCATCAACATCACCATCATCATCATCACCATCACTCCCTCCCCAAGAGGTGAAGTGGACAAGCAAAATCTCCCCAGAAGCCGAAAGCAGGGGCAAACAAGATCGGACAGGACTCGTGGAGTTCTGTCGTCGCATCGATGCAAGATGAGGAGCACCCCCCGCCCTCGCCCCAACCCCCCTCCTGGAGCTGAAGGAGGATCATGGTTCCGACAGGTGATGACTATGGTGATGATGTTGTTAATGATGATAGTGATGATAATGATGATGTTGCTGATAGTGGTGATGATGCTGATGGTGGTGACGGTGGCGATGATGGTTATGATGATGCTGATGATGATGGTGATGCTACTGATGCTGATGATGGTGATGCCAGTGCTGACGATGGTGGGATGATGATGCGTATGATGATGGTGATGCTGATGCTGACGATGATGATGATGATAATGAGGGTGATGCTGGCTATCATTAATATGAAGGTGGTGATGCGAATGATGACGATGATGAGGCTGATGATGCCGACGATGATGAGTACGCTGATGGTGGTGATGGTCATGGTGATGATGATGCTGACGATGATGCGAAAGCTGATGCTGATGCTGATGCTGACGATGACGATGATGATGATGATGATGATGATGATGATGATGATGATGGTGGTGGTGGTGGTGGCGGTGGTCGTGGTTGTTTTGACGAGTGTGACGAGGATGATGATGATGAGGATGTTGAAGATGATGATGATGCTGATGCTGATGCTGATGATGATGATGATGATGATGATGATGATGATGATGATGATGATGATGATGATGATGATGAGTAGGAGGAGGAGGAGGAGCAAGGGGAAGCGGAGGCGGAGGAGCCCCTCCCCCCGTGTCTCCCTTCCCACCCTACCCTTCTCCCATCCCGCGGTGCGCCGCGCAACGCGCCTCCGCCAGGCTGGGCACCATGAAGACGAAGATTAGCTCCAGGCCGTTATCCTTCGCGAGCCGTCGGTGCGGCGCTGCGGGGGATTGAGATCGGGCTCGAGTGTCACGGAGGTGGAGTGCATGCATGCCGAAGCGGGCCCGATGCCCCACGAAGCGGACTCGCACCCGAAACAACTGGCGTCGTATCGTTGTTGTGCCGTCGTAGGAAGGGGAGGATGAGCAGGACAATGAGAAGGAGAATTAGGGATGGGAAGCGTAATGATAACAGGACGAAATTGAGGAGGAGGAGGAGGACTAGGAGGAAGCACAGGATCCCTCCAGCTACCTCTCCCCTACCAGGTGAGCGCATACTCGGCGACCTCGTGGGCTTAATGTGATTCTCATCTTTTTCCAATCGACTGTCTCCATTCTGCTGCGCACACCTAGGTCTGATTTGTGGGCCACGGCGCCCAAGTAGGCTATTAGGGGCATCCCAGATGGGATCCGAGTAGATGGGGTCGGAGGATCGCGCCGCATCGCCGATGTATCGACGATGAATCGAGGATGAATCGAGGGTGCATCGGCGAAGCACTCGGTGTATCGGCGGCACCGGCGTGGAGAAAGTCGGGCACCACTTCGAGCCGCATCTCTGATGCGTCGGCGATGCAGCACGATCCTCCGACCCCATCTACTCCGACCTCACCTACAGTCGGGCCGCTGCAATAAGAGACGCTGGCTAAGGAACGAAGACCCTTCCATCGGGAGCCGCCAAGAGGGGGGTGTCCAAGAGGGGGGGGGTGCAAATCATGACCGGCGGCATGTGCGCGGCCCAGCGGGGGGGCCAGGGACGTAATGAAATAAGAAGAGGCGCCATGAAATCTGGGGAAATATCATGACCCCCGCCATGATATCCACCCCCCCTAGTCATCACCCCCCTCTTTTCCGCCCCTGATTTTAGGCCTCGAAGCCGCCTTCGTTCACGCGGGGAGCTGGAGGGAAACAGCCCGGACAGGACCGAAGGCTCATCGAGCCCCTCCCGAACCCAAGCAGTTCTCGGGTCGGGCGAAAGGGGGGGATGGCAAAGGGGGGAGGTTGAGAATCAGCTCCCTTAGCTGATTTTCTCCCGGCGCTGGAGGCGGCTATGTCTCGAGGAACGGGCCCCTCGGTGAGGCCGAAACCAGCTGCATGCAGCAAATTTCGTACCCCCCCCTTTCCCAATCCCCCCCTTCCGTCCGGCCCGATGTTCCTGATGCCAGCGTCTCGACTGCAGGAGGCCTCGAGCCACTTTTCCTATGCTTTGTCAGCGAGACGCGATGGCCCACTCCGGCCTGCGCTTGCGTCCAGAGTGCGCACGCGAGCGTCCGGCTTGCGTCCAGCAAAAGCCCCACGCGAGCGCTGGGCGCCACTGGGGCACGAGCAGCCTGCCCGAGAGCGCGGTCCCCGCGGGCAGCACCCCCCCCCCCCGGACAGCGAGCGGCTGGTACACGCCAGGTGAGATTTACGGGCGGTGGTGCCGCTCTTCATCCTCCTTCTCCTCCTCCTCCTCCTCCTCTCCCTCCTCCTCCTCCAATGACACAGAACAGAAACTTTCGGATGGCAGTGCGGATTTCTTGGACCGGCGCCCCCTGGCGGCGCCTCTGACGCCGCCCCCGGCGCGCTCCGTGCGCCCTAGCGGGCCAAAGCCCAAAGCAATCAGCGTGAGCGTTGGGCAACCACGATCGAGCCGAGAACTGGGGTTGGTCTGAGACGTGCAAGGCGGCCAAGTCGAGGCGAGGCACAGCAGAATTATGGAATGATCGAGAAAATATGTCCGTACGGCATAGCGAAGCTGCGTTTAGCGAAACTACACAGAACAACACTACGAACTGAAAGGAGTAAGGCTCTACGACTGTGAACACGCAGAAATATTGTAATACAGGGATTGTCGGAACTGATCTTGGCTGAGCATTGATGTGCCGAATTCAGCTTCGCAGGAGCTTAACGTACAACCACAACGGGAGACTGAACTGATGTACCAGACTTTCAATTGGCCAATCTTCAAATGAACTGAACGCTGAATTGCAAGGCTCCAGCCGGCTTGGCGACACGTGACATTACTTGAGATGGGTCACGTCAGACTAATCAATATTGAAGCTGATGAGATCGAATATTTGATACCAGACGGCACATATAGCCACAAGATCGCCTTGTCTACCTGGGAGCTACAATTAGCAACACTGGCAGAATATCCGGGGAGCTCAATCGAAGATTGGGGACGGCATGGGGCGAGTTCTCAAGGTATTGTAAAGTTTGGAAGCACACTTCGATCGGTGTCAAGAGAAAGCTGATGATCTTCGACGCGATGATCACCAGTAAGGTCATGTACTCCCTCAGTTCTGCGTGGCTTACCAAAGCTGACAGGAAACGGTTGGACGGCTTCCAGGCCAGGTGTATCAGACAGATTTTACACATACCTCCGGCATTCATCTCCAGAGTCTCCAACAAATCCGTTTTGGAAAGAGCGAGCAAGCGCCGTACAGTTCCCGACTGTTGAAACAACAGCTATTACTATTTTGGAAAATTGGTCGGTATCTTAACGATCATGTTTTGCGGAAGCCAACGTTCCAGCCGGACACCGTCTTCCCCGCGACGCGGGCTTGCGAGCGCAACCAGGGGCGGCCCAAACAGGAGTGGGCGGCTGAATTACATAAACTTGTGAGACCCCACTTTGAGACCGTGGAATATTTCGTGGCAGCAGTGGCAGACCCGATACGTTGGAGATCGTTCGTGTTCAATTTCGTCAAGGACGCCAGTAACGCAGAAGAGACATGTATTGAATGAGAATTGCATTGCCTTTGCGCCCTGGCTGAAACACACATCATCGTCATCTTCCTCCTCTCCTCATCCTCCCGGCGCGCATTTGGCGCGTCGTCGCTGTCTGTCTCGTCGCGCGTTTGGCGCCTCCTGTCCGCCAGCTAACGCGTTTGGCGTAGCTCGCACGCTCGTCAATCGTCTTGCCCACGCGCGCTTTGCGTATGGCTGCTTCGTAGACGGCCCTCTTGTACATCTACAACAAGCGGTACGTCTGAAGATAGAGCCGAGCGCCATGGAAACGCCCAAGCTGGGCCATGTGAGCCTCCATGAAAACATGACAGGAAGGGGGGGGAAGCGGAGAGGGAGGAGGAGATGACGACGATCGTCTATTAGACATCGAGCCGCGAGCGAAGCGAAGATGACGACGATGACGATGCTGCTGCTGCTGATGATGAAGATGACGATGCTGATGACGTAGAGCACTCTGCCACCGTGCCCCCCGGCACGCGGAGGCGTGGAAGAATGCCAAGGCCTGCCTGATAGAATTCCTCGAACTATGACAAGGGGGCTACTCCTCCGTCTGCCCGCCGACGACTCTTGCGTGCATCCCCCCACTGCTCACCAAGGCCACTCCCCTCGTGCCCGCTCGAGGAGAGTGCACTTCCAGCATGGCAGCTGGTGCCTAAACCCTCATTCCACGCGTGCCCCCTCGAGCATAGTGCTCTTCCCGCATGTCAGCTAAATGCACCTCCATTCCACGTATGCCCGCTCAAGGATGGTGCACTTCCCATATGGCCGCGAACGCCTAAACCTCCATTCCACGCGTGCCGGCTCGAGGATAGTGCACTTCACTGGATGGCCGCTAATGCCTGGACCCACATTTCATGGCAGCCACTCGAGGATTGAGCGCTTACTGCATCGCTGCTCACTCCTAGGTCCTCATCCCACGCGCACCCGCCCGAGGATCGTGCAATTCCTGTATTCCCGGGCGCTGCTCCCAAGCGCTACAGGGCCTCCCACTCAACGATCCCTCTTTGACAACGATGGATATGCGTCTCGAGCTTCCACGACGGCCCGTGCAGGCAACCAAGGACACCAAGGTGGCCCAATCTGCCTCGAAGACGGTCCAAGATGACCCCGAGGCGGCCGACTATTGATCCAAGACGGCCCAAGATGCCTCCAGGAGGGCCCAAACTGGCCACAAAAGGACGTCCAAGGTCCAGAGAAGCCAAAATCAGTGATCCTTTTCTCGCCTTTTCGGGCCGCCGTCAGCTCAAGCCAGGCCAATAGGACTCCACGATGACGCAAGAGGCATCGAAGAAGCTCCAAGACGGTCCAAAGGGGATATCCCGTTGGATCCAAGATGGCCTTAGAAGGCCCTTCGACGGCCCAAGACGGCACCAGAACGGCTCCACGACGGCCACCATGCACCAAGCCAAGAGGGCCACAAGACGGCCCCCGAGAGCCCCAACTTGGCGTAAGGAGGCTCAAAGACGGCCAACGAGGCCCCACGGAACCCGAAACACCGCCTCACAGAAGGCCAAGGCAGCCTCAAGACGACCCAAACGAGATTAATCATCATCAACATCATCATCATCACCATCATCGAGAGCATCATCATCATCATCATCAACATCATCAGCATCATCAGTATTATCACATCGGCGAATGCCAACCAGATAATATCATTGCATGCCATATCACATCGTCATCGACAACACAACCACCACCAACATCATTACCGCCACCGCCACCAACATCAACATCAGCATCAACGTCAATCTCAACAGCATCATCATTACCATTATCATCACCATCGCCATCGCCATCACTATCATCCTCATTATCATCCTCATCCTAATCCTGGTCCTGATCCTCATCTCCCTTCTCACAATCACAATGATCATCATCACCACGACCACCAATACCACCACCACCACCACCATCATTACTACGACCACGAACATCAACATCAACGTCAACATCAGCATCATCATCAGCATCATCGTTCTTACTAGCATCATCACCATCGCTATCACCATCACCATCACCATCATCCTCATCCTTATCCTCCTCCTAATCCTGATCCGGATCCTCATCTTCCTCGGAATCACCATGATGATCATCATCTTCACAGTCATCATGGTCATCGTAGCCATCATCATAATCCAAATCGAAGCCATCGTCATCGTCATGGTGATCGTCCTCGTCGACATCGTCGCCAGCGCCGGCCTCATCACCAAATTCATCATCATCATCATCATCACCACCTCGCCATCATCATCATCACCATCATCATAATCAGCATCATCATCATCATCATCATCATCATCAGCATCCTCCTCCTCCTCACCATCAATATTGTTGTCGTCGTCGTCGCCATCATCACCCCAATCATCCTCATATTCATCATCATCAACTTCATCACGGCTCTCCAAAGCCTCGAGACACGAAGTCTCACACGTGACGCCCTCCCGTGCCCCCTCGAACAGTCGCCACCCAGAAAGCTGGGCTGGCACGGTGCCCCGAGTTGCCACAGGCAGCTGGACATCCAAGCACACGTGCCTGAACGAGCTTCCCAGGAACTCTCCAGGCCCTGCTCCGCCGCACGTTCGTGTTCCAACGCAAGCGCGAACGAGCGCAACTGCCACGTGGCATGTCGTGCCCGGCTTCCTCCTCCTGCTCATCCTCCTCCTCGTCATCATTATAGTTGTCGTCGTCGTCGTCGCCGTCATCACCCCAGTCACCCTCATATTCATCATCATCGTCATCACGGCTCTCCAACTCCTGCTCCTCCTCCCCTCACTATCCACCTCCTGCGTGTGCCGCTCCACGTGCCGCACCGTGGCAGTGTGCATGGGCGCGAGCCTCGAATCCCAACCTCCCACCGGCCACTCCTTGAAGGTGGTGTCCGCGAAGGTGGTGCACTTGCTAAACTCCTCGCTGCTCTCCGCCAGGCTGCCTGTACCGTGATCGCCTTGCGCAGCGGGATGGTATCAAAAGGGGCGGGGTACCCCATAATCCGGATGTGCTGGACGACATGTCCGTTGTTTTACTGGCGTCTGGGATCGTATGACAATGGATACCCAGCTGTTTCTACATGTTGACAAGCCTGGGGATGGGGAAAACTCCAAACCATCCCCTCCCCCCCAAAAGGGTAGGGCAAGAAGGAGGGCGAGGAAAAGGAGACATGATGAAAAGATAATGCAAAACATGGTTGCAACGGCGATGTCGGACAAGGCGGCAAGGCGTCATCCCTAAATTGTCTGCTTTACCTTCCCGCCCGACTGCATGCCAAACTTCAAAGACCAAGGTGCATGGCGCGAAGCACCAGTGCAGTCATGTAAACATATATCTCTACGTACACATGATCATATATTCATGCGGTGACGCATGACAGGCAATTGTACATACACATGTGTACTGCGAACCCGCAGCACGCGTGAGAGCACCCGCTGGCACGAGAGCACCACGACGTGCCCAATACCACCACACTGCACGTACGATCACAAAACGGTGAACGAAACCGGACCCAGGCAGAACCACACTAGCCCGCAATCATTTTACGTATGCGTAGCAGTTCGCAGGACTTCAGATATCGCGTGCGAGCCAAACCACTGAAGAACAATGTGCCACAGTCTGACTGGAACACACAACAAAATGCGTGCGACAGCTGCGTGACACGGGAAGCTGGACTCTTTCAACACCACGCCAGTCTGCTAACACCACGCCAGCCTGCTAACATAACGCCAGCCTGCTAACACCACGCGTGGCCGTGACCAGGAACTCGCGCCACATCTGCAACACGCTACCACCCGTGCCGCAGAAACCGTACGCATCGATCGCGAGACAATAGAACATGATTATACCCCTGCTTTTGGCGCCCCGTTGTTTTTCCGTCGCACCACCAAAGCTTCGTCAAGGCTTGGGGCCTCACGGGCTGGTCGGGTCCGATTGCCATCACCGCCCCTTCTTTGCCACCAGGACCGAGGCGGGACCTACGTGGGCCCGAAGCACCTTCGACGGACACCTGGGACCAAAAACAGGCGACCAGAGGCCAAGGACTTCTCAGGCGGTAGTGAGGCAAGACGAGGCAGGTAGGCCTACCTCTTCAAAAGCTCTTCCACGACTCCTTCGCTGGTTTACCGCCTAGACTTCCGCTACAGCCTTTTTTTATCTTGGCCCTCGCGGCGGCCCGTTTGGGCCAGCTCGTGGAGCAGGCGCGCATTCAGGAGGCATTACAGGCCAGCAGAATACCCAGAAATTTGCATGTCTGGACGCAGTCAAGCGACAACTGCATGTCTGAGAGCGCAGGCTGGCCCTCGGATATATATATATATATATATATAGACATATACATGTGTATATATACATCATGTGTTTATGCGTGCGTTTATATGTACATACTCAAGTATGCGTGTATATATGTATAGTGTTATTCATAACAGTATGTATGTATGTATGTATGTATGTATGTATGTATGTATGTATGTATGTATGTGTGTGTATGTAGGTAGGTAGGTAGGTAGGTAGGTAGGTAGGTAGGTAGGTAGGTAGGTAGGTAGGTAGGTAGGTAGGTAGGTAGGTAGGTAGGTAGGTAGGTAGGTAGGTAGGTAGGTAGGTAGGTAGGTAGGTAGGGTAGGTAGGTAGGTAGCATATATATATATATATATATATATATATATATATATATATATATATATATATATCCAGGAAGACAGTCAAAAAGCCCCCCACCCACCCTCTAACGAATTTGGCCCATCCCGGGCCTTTCGGGCAGCCCCCCAGACGACCTGGAGGACCTTACGAGAGCCCGAAAACGGACCCGAAGGGCCCCCGACGTTCCGGCGCGCCCCGGAAACGACCCCAAAAACCTCCAAAACGGTCGACAACGACCCCGAAGGAGCCGTCATACCCTCAAAGGTCGCTCCAAAACGTCCCAAGAGGCCTCCAAGAGCACTCCCAAGAAGGCCCCAAGAGGCAAAATTCATTGCCTTTCCGTTGGTTTGTGGGGGATGTTTGAATTCTCTCATTTCGGATGCCCCACACTCCAACACAGCCCACGAGGGAGGCCCCCAAAATCGCCCTAAGATGGTCCGGCAGTAGGGCTCCAGACCGGCCCCAGAGGGCACCGAAACATTCCCGAAAGGGCCCCAGGAGGCAACAGAAACTCCAAAGAGGCCCCGACGATGCTCTGCGAGCCCCCCCAAAGCCCCCCGGGAAGCCGCAATAGGCCCCCAAGAGTCCCCAAATATCCTGCAAGGACCTCAGAAGTTCGAGATCGCTCCAAAACGTCCCAAGAGGCCTCCAAGAGCACTCGCAAGAGGACCCCACGAGGCAACATTCATGGATTTTGGGTTCTCCCTTTTCGGCTTCCCGACGCTCCAAGGCGCTCCACGGGGCCCGCAAGATCGCCGTACAATGGCCCGACAGACCTCCAAGAGGGCCCCAAACCGGCCCAATAGGGCCCCAAACCGGCCCAAGAGGGCCCCCAGACAGACCCGACAGGGCCCCAGGAGGGCACAGAAACTCCCAAGAGGCCCCGAAGAAGCCCCCAAGAGGCCCCCAGGAAGCCTCCAAAGGCCCCCAAGAGTCCCAAAAGATCCCGCAAGGACGGACCCCACAAAATTTCGAGATCGCTCCAAAACGTCCCAAGAGGCTTCCAAGAGCACTCGCAAGAGGGCCCCACGAGGCAAAATTCATTGATTCTCCTTGGGTTTGTGGGGTACATTTCAGTTATCCCTTTTCGGCCTCCCGACTCTCCAAGACAACCCACGAGGCCCCCAAGATCGCCTTAAGATGGCTCGACGAACCTCCAGGAGGGCCCCAAACCGGCCCAAGAAGGCCCCCGGACAGACCCGACACGGCCCCAGGAGGCCACAGGAGGCTCCCAAGAGGCCCCGACGAGGCTCCAGGAGGCCCCAGGAAGCCACAAGAGGTCCCCCAAGAGTCCCCAAATATCCTGCAAGGACCTCAGAAGTTCGAGATCGCTCCAAAACGTCCCAAGAGGCCTCCAAGAGCACTCGCAAGAGGGCCCCACGAGGCAACATTCATGGATTTTGGGTTCTCCCTTTTCGGCTTCCCGACGCTCCAAGGCGCTCCACGAGGCCCCCCAAATCGCCCTCAGACTGTCGGGCAGACCTCCAAGAGGGCCCCAAACTGGCCCGAGAGCGCCCCAAACCGGCCCGAGACTTCTTGGACGAGCCTTTCTTTCCAATCCGATTGCGATCGCGCTCCGGCGCGAGTCGGGCGTTGGTAGAACTGGGTTTAGTGGAACCTGGTTTGGTGATCTGTACCGGGGGCGCCCCCCCGTACCACTTCCACTAACCGGAACTGCCGTCACCCGAAAAACACACCAGCTATGGCAAACCTGGTTTAGTGATTCTGGCCAATTCGAAGGCTCCAGGGCCCTACCACTAACCGGGTCCCCTTACCCGGGGTCCTGGCCATACCCGAGGCGAGGGCCGACGGCAACCTCGGCGCCCCCAGCGTCTCCGCGCTGCTCAAGTTAACTTCCCGGGGTTGGCGCTGCGCCACCGCCCTCGGGCCGGCGCGGGCGCGGCGCGGAGCACCTGTCGGTCCCTGGGCCCACCGCCCCGCGGGCCAGGGTGGCGGGCGCATCGGTAGGGGGCCACGTGCGAACCCTGCCCCTCCCCCCCACGATTTCTGAGAGAGAGGGTGGGGTTCACTTCGCTCGGGAGCTCTCGAGCGAAGTGAACCCCACCCTCCCTCTCAGAAGTCGTGGGGGGCAGGGGCAGGGCTTGCATGTGACCCCCGAATCGGGCCCGGGCGCCGAAAAGGCGGGGGGGCGCTCCCGCGGGCGCTCCTGCCTTCGGGCTCGGGGGCTGGCGAGCCCTTGTGCTCTCAGCCCTGGCGGGCTCACCGAGCTCGCTGCCGATCTCTATCCGGCGCTGCTCTCGCGGCGGGCTCTCTCTCTCGAGGCCCAGCGGCGCCACGGTTCGAGCCGAGGCCGCGCTCGACGCGGAACGTGCCGCGGCCGTTCCATGGCCGCTGGGGGGTGGGGGGGCGGTCCTTCTCGGGCTCCTCCTCCTCCTCCTCCTCCTCCTCCTCCTCATCATCATCCCCTTTCTCCTCCTCCTCCTCCTCCTCCTCCTCCTCCTCCTCCTCGCCCGACAGGAGCGTGCTGCGGCGCCTCGAAACTCGCGCCGGCCTCGTGCGCGAGCCGGACGCGCTGGGGCTCGGCCGCTGGCGTCGCCGCGCGTCTGCGCCAGGCTGCGCAGCCTGCGACGGTTGCTCGCGGCGTCGCGCGCCTCCGGCTGCCGAGCGGATGCGACTCCGAGGTCGTCGCAGAGCTCGAGACGCTACACCACGTTCCAGTGGCCGTCCTGGTAGCCGGGCTTCAGCCGCTGCATCAGCAGGCCGCCGAGGTAGTCCAGTTCGCCTCGCAGCGTCGCGTCCAGGCGCTCCCCGACGGTCCGCACCTCGCGAGCACTCCTGGTCCCCAACTCGTTTTGTGGGTGATGGCCGTGCCGCGCGCTGGTCATGCACTGAACCGCAGTCGCTGCTAACTCGTCCAGGATCTCTGCGCTGTCGGCCCCTCCGCTCCGCGCCAGATAGCGTTCTACCTGACGCAACCTGATTGACAGGAGAGCGCCTGGCACTTCCTTGGTGGGGTGAGCTACCTGACGGACTGAATCCATGTGTGAGGCATCGTCAACACTGGAGCCCGATTCACTGTCATAATCTCGGTTGGGCTTTTTTCCTGTCTTTCTTTGGCCCGTGGTGGCGAGCGCAAAGCAGGGCGAACTCCGCGCGCCCCGACAACGCCTCGCCGACGCCCATCTTGCGGTTCAATTTCTTTCTCAGCTCCGCCACCTTCCTCTGCAGATCAGCCAAGCCAGGCTGCACCACGCTCGACGAGGCATCCGACACTGGCAGCGCTGTGACTCCGCCCAGGCTGCCTGGAGACGGCTGCGGCGGCGGGGCACCAACAGCAGGGCCGCGGGCGCCCAGCTGCGACTGCGCCCGCGCCACGCCTGCAAAGGACCGCATCCTGTGGGTCTCGACGTGCAGCACGGAACTCTGGGGCCAGGACGCCAGGCCCGCACACACTCCTGCACGCTGGGTACACAGGTGCGACACCGCTTCGCCGAGGCTGCTGAATCTCGCCGCCAACATCGGCCACAACGCCGAATCGCTGCACCCGACGGACGTTGCCTCGACGGAGCAGCCCATGCCGTCGCCCGGTGACACACTCTGAATCTGGAAGATCACCGTCCCCGCAGCGCTGCCGAATTGTCGTTGCCTCGACGAAGCAGCCCATGCCCTCGCCCGACCACACACTCTGAATATGGAAAAAGCATCCTGGCGCCAGCCCCAGAAGCTGGTAGGCCATCGGCGCCGATGGGCCAGGGGCGCCGCCGAAGGTGCCGCCAGCGGCGGGCGGCCAGCCATCGGCGCCGCCGAAACCGCCGACGCCGAGCGAGCCAGCTCCGAGCCGGGGCATCCCTGCGCCGAGGCCGCTTCTTGCAGCGCTTCTTGCGCCTGCTGCGCCCCCCCCCCAGCAACGGGCGGCACGAACCCCCCAAAAGGCCCAGCGAAGCCGCCGACCGCTTCCCCCCCCGGCAGCGGGCGGCACGAACCCCCCCCCAGCAACGGGCGGCACGAACCCCCGCTTGCACCGCCTGGCGGCGGAGCTCCCCGGGCCACGACCGCGCCACCTATAGAAGCCGTTTCTCTGCGCTGGCACTCTCCTCTCCTCTCCTCTCCTCTCCTCTCCTCTCCTCTCCCATCTGCTCTCATATCATCTCCTCCTAGACTCTTCCTCACCTCTCCTCTCCTCGTCCTCGTCCTCCTCACCCTCCCGGGGGCTCTGGGCCCTCCCCCCCCTCCTCCGTAGCCAGTTGTGCCTCCTCGAGCCCGCCGCGGGCGGGGCGATTGCGCGCTGCGCGGCGCCCCGGCCATCGCCGCCGCGGCAACCGCGGGCGCCGCGGGGCTGTGGCGGGCGCCGACGGCCGCCCCGGGGGGGCACCGGCGGCGCCACCGCCACGGGAACTCCCGCCGCCGCGGGCCCGGCCTCCGCGCCCCCGCCCTGGCAGGAGGGCCGGGCCCAGCACCCCACTTCAAGGTGGGGCCGCCGCGGCACCGGCGGCGGCGACGGCAGCGGCCGCGGGTGGGGCCCCCCATCCGGGGGCCGCCGCCGCCGCTGCAGCCCATCCGCGCAGGCGGGGGCGCAGCCGCGGGCGCGGCAGACCTTGCCCTTGGCCTTCGCCTCGTCCGAGGCGCGGCACGCGCCTCGGGCAGCACCGCCGCGGCGCCCGCGGGCAGTGCCGCGAAACCGCCAGCCCCAGGCGCAGCGCGTGCGCACACGCGCACAGGCATCCGCATGAGAACGCGTGCGACTACAGCCATGATGGGCCCATCATCCACCTGCGCAACGCAACGTGCGATGTGGCCACGATGTTGGGTGGGGTGGCTCGAGTTTGTGTCGGTGGGCGAGCGGGCTGGAGGCTACATTACGCTCACGGTGCATCTGCCCCTTACACAAAAACTAGATCTCCAAGATGGCTCTGACAGGACCCCCCCAAGAGGGCCCGAGGTGAAACACGTTGGTGATCCACATGTGTTTGGATTACTTTCGATTATCTCGCATTCTCAGGCTTAAGGCAGCTTAAAACGGCCGCAACAGGACCCACACAGGTTCCCCAGGGAGTCTCCGAGGGTGCCAGGCACCCGGCGACGGCCCCAGATACAACCTTACGGCGGGTGCGTTCGTTGAGAGATGTGCCCAGGAGTATTCAGACCCTGGCGGGCCCCTTATTTGATGAGGGCGGCGGTCACATTTGTTCTGGACGCCCGAAATGGGTACACAAAAAATGGGTACGATGCCCAACAACAAATGTTGTCCCAAACCAACAGCGGCCGCTGTTGGGCAGGCGGCCTTCTGTCTCAGATGGACACAGGCCGCGGCGGCGCGGACAGCGAGTCCTGTTCAAGACGAACAGGAACTGCTGTTGGGCATCGTACCCATTCTTTCCGTGCCCATCTCGTTCGTGCAGATTCGTGGGCAAGCCTCAACCGGTGTTCCTTGACTGCTGAGGGCGGCAGTCACACTCGTGGGCAAGCCTCCACCGGTGTTCCACTGGCTTGCAGACCCTGAATCTCTTATCCAAGGGCTCCTTATCCAATGCCCTCACCGTGCCCGCGCCCAGGGCAGGAGGGCCCACACTCGAATCGATAAGTCGCATCGGCGATCGAAATCAATCGAACAGGCGAAAATCAGCAACCAAGTCGGGATAAATCGAATCGGCGGGAATCGGCGGACAAGACCCAGGTCGAGAACTCGGAATCCACATCGGAATCCGAAGTCGAATCGAGTCGGACTCTGAAGCCGTCGAAAGCGCATCGAATCGGACCGGGGGGGGGGGCGAAGCCAGGGCCCCCGAGGCGTCCCCAAGAGGCACCGACATGCCCTGTGCTGGCCCCGAGGCCGCTCCGAGAGGGTCGCAGCCGGCTCCGCCTCGAGGACCCGCGCGGCCGATGGCGCGGTCTGCTCCGCTCGCGGAGCGCACGACCACAGGGCGCAGAATCCCAAGCGCAGGGATGCTCTCGATGCGCCTACTCCAGATTTCGTAATAAAGGGAGGGGGGTCTCATTTCGTGGGGGGGTCCCTTCCAGGCTATCTTGGAGGGCCTGGGGGGTCTGGGGACGATGTTTTGGAGGGTTCTCCCACGGGGGAGGTCTGAAATGGCTTGTCTTGGAGGGTCCAGACCCCCTCCCTTTTATTACGAAATCTGGAGTATGTTCTCTCAATGTGTCTATCCAATGTTTGGGGGGTCGCTGAAAGTGCTCCAATTGGTCCAGGGTGCCCCCCAGCTTGTCGCTCCGTTTTGGATCCCCGGGGGCCCCCATGGGCCTCGTAATGGGGGTTCTCTGGAGGCCGAGTGGGGGCCTCCTTGGATTGGAAATCCTGGGGGCACCTTTGGCCAGGGGCACTTCCGGCAGTACCCGAGCGCTGGCGGGCAAGTAAGAACCCCACCGCGACAACTGCGACAACGACCACGACGACCACCACGACGACGACCACGATGGTGGCAGGAGGGCCCCAGGCCCCAAGCGAAACGGGCCGAGGGTTACGCTGCTCCCATCCTACTCAAGGACCGCATCCCAGAAATAATTTCGAGCACGCGGAAAAGTGTCAACAGAGTGTCGAAACAATGTCGGGAGAGTGTCTCCCAGGACCCGATGCGTGAAAACCCGTGAGTTTCGGTACTTTTTTCTGGCGCTCGAAACTCTTTCTGGCGATCAAGGCTAAAGTAGGTTGAAATCATCATAAGCCGAGGGGAAGGTCACAGGAGCAGGAAAACGGGACACAACTGCAGGGCGCCTCTCCTCCAGGACCCCCTCTCTGCGCGGCGACGCCACGCGTCCGACGACAACGACGATCACGACCCAAAGCCGCGCTAACGGCGTGCTTGGCGTTCGGTGCGTTTAGGAATACGGTTGTCTTGACACCGATCTCACGCAGAACAACATGTAGGAAATCACGAAACATCGCTTCCTGCATTACAGATATGTGAACGCATCGGACGAGAACGACACAGCGAGCTGTAGGAAAACACGAGCCACGCGTTCCTACAATTGGTTTGGCCACGAGCTACGCCTTCCCACACTTGGTTTTCCTACATCGCCGTTGCCTAACACACCGTTAGCGCGTCTACGGACGACGACGATTCGTAGGGAGATGGACCGGAGACGGACCGGCCCTGCGTATAAAGGGTGACCTCTGGCGCCCAGGTCGGCAGAGGGGAGGGTTGCTGAGGCCGTCGGGGGCGCCGTCGGGGGGCGCTGGGTGGGCGGTCCCCAGGTGCGCCGCTCCCAAAAATCTGGCGATGCGCTCTTGTTGAACCCTCCGCCTCCTCCTCCTCCTCCTCCTCGCCCTCCTCCTCCTCCTCCTCCTCCTCCTCCTCCTCTCCTCATCCTCATCATCTCATCATCCTCATCATCATCATCATCATCATCATCATCATCATCATCATCATCATCATCATCATCATCATCATCATCATTCTCCTCCTCCTCCTCCTCCTCCTCCTCCTCCTCCTCCTCCTCCTCCTCCTCCCCGCGGGCCCCCGAAGGACCCGACGGGTTCCCCGTGGGCAGCGCTGAACTGCAATTTGGGGAACGGCTGGGACTGAGCAAATCAATCCGCCAGATACCCGACCTCCGACGTCGTGATTTTCTCCCCGCGTGGGCCCCCCCAAGGGCTGGACCTGTCCTTCGGGGCCGGCTTTTCCTCCTGAGTCGTTCTTTGACTGTCATGGGGCCAGGTAAGGGCCACCAGACATTGGAAATGCATGAGGGGATGCCTTGGAAGGGCACACTGGTGCTAAGGTACCCTCAAGTGCCGCATGGCGGAGGGCGGCAAGCAGCCAAGCAGCGGGTCTAGCCTGTGTCTGGGCACAGCTCCGGCCACTGAAGGCACATGTCGTCGAC